TATTCTGTACAGCTGCCGTGGTAGCCTCAGCAACAGGGGTAGGACCTTGCTGGAGAGGAAAGACTGACCACTTTAGCATTGCACCTCATCTCTCAAATACTTCCTAAGTTTACCCTTAAAAAGCATTGTGTAATACGGAAACGAGCAGTTAACATCTCATTCCTCAATGTTGTGATGTACACCCACTAAACTGCAGGTAGACTGGCTTAAACCACAGGCTGGCCTACCTGGCACTCCATGGTGGTCGAGGCCTGTTTAGGTTCAGCTCAAGAGCAACGATAGTTCGCTGGACAAAAGACATTAACATAGAGATGAGACCGATTCGCAAAACTAAAACATAAAGAAGTAAAACTATGCCGATAAGCAGGTTTACCTGTGTGCCAATTCAGCTTGCACACGCCTACCTGGATGTTACAGTATGTTTGGCTAACATTACTTATCGAGTAACGTTCCCAGGTAGCTAACGCTAATAAGATAAATGATATAACTTGTAGCTAACGAATTCTGCCGTAACACAACAAATGTTTAGCACAGCATAATCAACATATTTGATAAATACTTACAATTGCTTAATCGTGCAGTTGATCGTGTGCACAATACGTGATCTTAACTGGCGGTTGTTGCTTGCCGTCCGTCTTCTTAGAAGCCCGCGCATCTCGCAGTGATAGAGTTCACGGGGCACGGAGCTGTCACTCAAATACCTGCTGGCAAATGAGGCGAAGCCCCGCCCACACGAGAGATCTGTGGAAACGAAAAACTGGGCGGAGTGACTGAAAAGCCAGCAGCGAAACTGAAAAAAGAGTGGAAACGAAAAACGGGGCGGAGTGAATGAAAAGCCAGCAGCGAAACTGAAAAAACAGTGGAAACGAAAAACGGGGCGGAGTGAATGAAAAGCCAGCAGCGAAACTGAAAAACTCACAGGCGAGAATGAATATTGAATGAATTTTGTTTGATATTAGGAAAGTTTTATTTGAAAATTTTGGCACAAATCTGATTCCATATTAGTCTGCACTGAGGCCATTGTCCGTGCACCAGAAACTAACGGGGATCCGCTAATTGGAGCAAACTCACTGGCAGCAGAGAAAGGGCTAGAATATTCCAACCACTCTGTGACAGGGCTGGCTTTGTTCTTTACTGCTGTGTTAACAGTTATCTTTTCTCTTCCCTCCCTCTCTGGCTCAGGGCATGAATGGTTACCACCCCCCCACATGGACTGTCCCTGCGCTCAATGGCTCCGCCCATGCTGCTGAGACCTAGGAAGCCCCAGTGACAGACCCCGGTGAAACCCCCATGCCAACCCCCCAAACAGGGGCGATGGTCCAGGCAAGCCTGAGTGGAGAACAAGATGATGGGGCAGACCACAGACGACGTGGAAGAAGCCCATGGCTCTGAGGAGCTGGAGTGCAAGATCTGCTACTGTCCCTACAGCCTGGGCTGCCGACGGCCAAAGCTCCTGAAATGTCACCACAGACTGTGTGCCAAGTGCCTCGCCAAACTTCTGGACCTGGGAGACTGGCCACCATGCGCGGTGGTCTGCCCCTTCTGCCGCTACGTCACCAACCTGCCCGATGATGCCTCGGGCGGCATTCCTGACGACGGCGGCCTGGTGGAGGCGCTGTGCAGCCAGAATTACCTCATGGACCGCTCCACCAACCTCCTGCTCAGCCCCCAACGCCTGGGCTCGCTGGCGGACTCCTTCCTCTCCTCCTCCTCCTCCAACTGCTTGTTCGTCACCATCATGGAGACCGCCCAGGATCCGGTGGGGTCTCAGTTGGACTGTAACCCTACAACTCCTGCAGAATGGGTCAACCGCTCTTCTAGCCTGGATTCCATGGTGCAACGCTGGACAGTGTGGACCTGCACCACCAGCCTGTGCCAGCTTCTAGCCCAGGCACTGGTGTGGCTCCTGGGCTTTGTTTACTTAAGCTCCCTTCCTCTGGGTGTCTACCTTCTCATCATGCAGAAGACGCCCATGGGTATGTTCCTGGTCAGCCTGGTGCCTGCCACACTAGTGGCGATCATGGTCTACGCTTTCTGCCGCTGCATCTGCCATGAGTTACGGGACTGCATGTCCTCCTAGCAACCAAAGGACAACTTTGCTCACAAGCCGTGAACAACTTTTCCCCACAATGAGTCCCTGGAGTGATTTTCCCAAGAGCTGTAGAGTCACAGTCAGACGCTTCACTGTGTTTTGTTGTCTATAAATGCTGAAAACATGGACTATTAGGGTATGTATAATTATTTGACAAAAAATGAGTTGAAGAATAGGCCTAATTAAAATTTATAATAATGTCTGTATTTCTGGTTGCTATTTGGTGAGAACTGGTAATGCTGCAGTAGAATAACTGACATTTATGCATCAGAACATTGAGGAAATCAGCTCCATATGGTGTTTATATGGTGTTATGACTTTTCTGGGCTGTGTTCCCAGTGACTAAGGAATATAGTCAGATTCCAGTTTGTACCATGCCCTTAAAAGGAGAGATATGGTTCCTTAAAAGGGGAGATATGGTCCCTTCATAGGGGGGATATGGTCCCTTCATAGGGGGGATATGGTCCCTTCATAGGGGGGATATGGTTCCTTCAAAGGGGGAATATAGTCCCTTCATAGGGGGGATATGGTCCCTTCATAGGGGGGATATGGTCCCTTCATAGGGGGGATATGGTTCCTTCAAAGGGGGAATATAGTCCCTTCATAGGGGGGATATGGTCCCTTCATAGGGGGGATATGGTCCCTTCATAGGGGGGATATGGTTCCTTCAAAGGGGGAATATAGTCCCTTCATAGGTCCTTGAGAAACGACTACTGATTAGGGACTTGAGCTATTGGGACGTTCTGAAGTCTCAGTAAGAAAAGTAATTTGTTTTACAAGTGTTTTACTTTATGATACTTAGAATTATCAGAAATGATCTGATTCACATTATTAGGTGTTCATGAATGAATAACTGTCAGTTCTTAACTTAAAAAAATAAGAAAATGATCACCTCAGTGCCTTATATGTCATAAACATTTTTATATTTGTACTATTACAGTATGGGAGTGTAATGTATTCTTATAAAGCGATGATGCAGCTGGTTTCACGATAACGGCTGTATTGTGATCACAGTGGAATTCACTAGAGTGGATGACACCCCACTAATCCAGAGACAATTGCAAACCTGCGATTTGAACAGACGAGGACAGAGATCACTGTGAGTTTACCGGCTTGATGGGATATTGGGGGCACAGTAACGTGTTCCAGGCACGTGTTCTCTTTTAATGTTTCAAGACTTTATTCTCATCACATCGCAGTGTGTGGAAATGTGAATGCAACCAGTGTGTGTGGATTTTTTCATATTTAATGTAAAAGGATACTACATTTGTTTGTTTTTATCATTTTTATTAAGGATGTGTCGTTATGATGAAACTTCCCACGAAACATAATTATTTTTTGTGACGTGGGGCCAGTTTAGGGGATAAAAGATACTCTTTGGAAGAGGAAGTTGGCCAGGCGATTTGCTTTCGACATGCAGCAATAGAGACAATCATTTAAATGGAGCATAAATCAGTGAAATCAATCGGCTAAAACGCCGTGCGGGAGGGAGCGCTTTTGGCGTGCATGTGAAATACGTACGACTGGCTGGAAGAGGATGCACAGCGATCACTGGGGGCCGATCACAGATCAGGGACGGAGACGTTAGCGGCGGCAAGAAGGAAGCTAATTATCAAAGGTGTGTAACGGCAAAGAAAAAGACCTGGGAGGAAGATTAAACCCCCCCCCCCAGGGATCTCAGACACCACGGAGAAGCCCAGAATAGTTACATGAGGTAGAAGTACGAGCAGACAAGATTAATCCCACTTTTTATCTGGGTATCTCCTCATTATTTAATGTCATATGGACATTTAATTAAGACATTTAATTGGTTATATATTCATCTTTTACACATCTGAATAATATTTGATATGGTAGCTGACTTCTTCTGCCGAGAGCTGAGACTGAAGTTATCCTCTCTATTTCTTCATTTCTAATTATGCATCTCTCTCTTATTTTCTGTGTATATTACTCTCAGTCTCTTGATTGTATCTAAATTGCATCCCTGTTCTCTGAAGGCTGCTGCCGCCCGAATCTCGGACGATCGTGTCCCCACAGTGTGTCACCCACAGTGGTGACTCCAACCTGGCCCCCAACGGCATACAAGAGATTTTGATTTTGGGGGCACAGTGGTCTGTGTATTGGGGCGGATGAATGAAGCAAAATTAAACACTCATCCCACCTTGCATTCCATCTCTTGTGCCCTTGCTGGTCCCCACCGGGTCAGAGGGCAGGGTGTATCAGTCCTGTGACAGCCTCCCATCCTGCTGCCGATCAGGGAGAGATGGGAGGGTTGGTACACCGGTAATCACCCCCACGCCTACTCAGCCAAAGCTCACTGTCAGTCCAGGAGAACAGGTGCCAGGGAGGAGAACCTCCACATGTCAACCCTACAACTTCAAATGTGCCTTAGACACAATCTGTAATTTCCTTCGTGTTCTTAGGCTGCCCTTATGTAGAGATTGTGGTAGTAGATAACTGGGCAGCACAATTTACAGGCAAAAAACTGGATCAAAGGCACTCTGGGATCGACACCTTATGCCTTGACGGTGGCTTGTCAGGTAAGCAAGCCATTAATATCACAGGCGATTACCGCTAGACCATGTGAACAGTGATAGACGCAGAAGGGAAAGGCTTCCTGGTCATTTAACACCTTGTGAATGATTTAGCACAGGAATCTGTCACTGGTGAGTGCATAAGATGTCTAGAGATTTTTTTCCCCTGCAATGCCTCTTCTACCTGCAGGGGGCATTACGGTTAACATCCTGCGCTTGTAAGCACATTCGAGTTTCTGATCATTCAGCTACATAGTATGTTACCACACTCATGCACGCACACACCTAAACACAAGCAAAGCCAGACCTGTCTGTGGATGCATAAAAGGCTCTGGGCACCAGCTAATAGGATTAGCATTATGGGTCACTGCATGTCACTGAGAGCTGTGGGCTTACTGGGATTACCTCGCCTGCTCCAGAGCTGGGAATCTGTGGATATTCCGACAGTACATTTCTTTTTTTTTTCCCAACCCGTATCTCAGATCAGAAAACAATCCATGTTCGAAGCGCTTGGAGTTTCCTCATTAGAAACAAGATCATCATCTGATCCGGTTAGCTTGGCCCTGGAGGTCTAAAGGCTGCTGGGGGTGTGAGCCCCCACATGGATGGCAAGGTGGCTGATGATGGCGGCAGAGGGTCCCAGAAGCTCCTGGAGGAGGTCAGGGCTCTTGTGGAGACCCTCAACAAGGTTAGAGGGACAGATTTTATTTCAGACTTGTTTTAACAGTCCTCATATGAATTAATACTAATTCAAATGCTTAGTATTCCAGTAAAACACCCAGCAGTAAGTTTTGTATATAGATAGATAAAGTAGTTGTGTATAGAATTCCACTAAATGATCCTGCTGTAAGAACAGGCAGAACTGTACGCTGGTTTTCATACCACAGAGAGTGTGGGCAGCTCTCCTGTAACTCGCAGGAAAAGGCTTCGATGTGTAAACCTCAAAGCCAGTGGCAAAGTCCTAACGTATTCCAGCACCTTCTGAGAGGCCTCCTGCCGGTAGCTCGGCCGGAAAGGACACCTTGTTCGATACGTCTGAAGCACCAGCCCTGGGTTCCGACCCGCTGATGAGCAGCGCTGCCGGCCACCTGCGGGGACAGTGCACAGACCGGCCGTAACCGCAATCCAAAAAACACGTCCAGCTCTCCAGAAACGGCTTCCCTGTCCGTAAGAGTCACCTTGAATTTCTGCACATCAAGGTGAAGTTTTTCTTTTTCCAGTCATAGCTATAGTATTGCACGCCATTAATCAAAGGCACTAAATATAAATAAAGTTATAAAATTAAGAGACCACTCTATGTTTTTTAAAAGCTGCATTTTTAAATCCTGGTTTAATCCTGGTTCCACTGGCAGAAGGCTACACTGTGGCAGGCTGCTTCCAGGCTCAGGGTTTGTAAGACAGCAGTAGACAAGGACAAGGTGAAGCAGGAGACACTGGGAACGACCAGAAACCAGCCAGGGGGAGGGCAGAAGCAACTTTCTAATGCCAGAGATGACCGTCAACTTATCCGGCAGTGCCTCATAAATCAGAGGATGACATCGTGTGACCTTCAAAAGGAATGGGAAACATTAAGTGCAGGTGTGAAGTGCACTGCTAGGACAGTTTATATTAGGCTCCTAGAAGCAGGACTGAAGACCCATAAAGCAGGGAAGAAGCCCTTCATTAGTGAGGAGCAGGGAAGAGCCGAAGTAAATGCCTTGTATGGTAAAGTACTTGGTGATAAGTAAATGATTCTAATCCTGATTAAATTAACCAGGTCTTTCTGTAAATGGGTTAAACTGCTCTCCGGAAAGCCTTATGCAAATATAGTGACAAATGGGCTAACGTCAAAACCGTTTGCGATACAACGGGGCTGTCGTCAAGGCTGTCCTCTATCCCCCTGACTGTTTTATTAACAATTGAACCATTTGCTATTGCAGTAAAGGTCTAATAAATGCATAACTGGTATAATGGTAAATCAACAAGAACACTGGATCTCCCTGCTCGCAGATAATGTCATTCTCTTCTTAAAGAATTTGGAAAACTCAGTCCCATCCCTGACTGATTTAATTAAATCATTTGGAAACTTATCAGGATATGACGTAAATAATGATCAATCTTCTGTAATGTTACTTAGTTCACAAGACAGAGTTAAACCACCTGAACAAGCCAAGCAATTTAAGATAGTAGATGGCTTCACATATTTGGGAATAAAGATTGTACCGTGTATCAAGGACACACGGATCACCGATTATGACCCATTGACACATTCCTTTATTTGGAAGATTAAATGTCCTTAAAATTAACTAGTTTATCTGAAAATTATACAGTTTAGTCATCTCCAGCATGGACATGTGCATGTTATGACTGCAGGATCACTGGCATTCCGCCATCCCTGAACGCATACAGACACTGTCATACACTTTAGGCAATGCAGGGTCGCCATGACTACACAATTTTGGGCTGTAGGGGGAGACCCAGGGAAATTCCAGCAGGGAGAACCTGCGAATCCACACATGCTGGGAGGGGGGGGTCAGTATTAACGATCCAAGCCCCCAGGAGTCACAGTGAGGCAGCATTTTTATTTAATAGTAATAACGAATTGGGCTGATTGACCAAACAGAATCTGTTATCTTATAACCCAGAATCAATCTCACAATACCATGGAATTGATCCTGGGTCATATAACAATGCAGACGATCTATAGTAAAACAAAACTATATCATGTATACAATATATATAATCAGCTTTTTTAATATGTGCCAATCGGGGAAGAATTGGAATAGAAATACGAATCCGATTGGGATTCTGGCTGTTGATCTGCTACAGGTTCTGAGCCACCTCCCAGTAGCACAATAGTCCACCTGGTGCATTCTGGGTTGCTAGGCTGCTGTGAGGATAATAGCCGGCCTTCCGCAGGTCCCCTCTCAGGAGGCAGGCTGTGTGAATAGGGCTGAGAGCGCCGGCTGGCTTCTGAGGACGTGCACAGAAGCTCGTCTGAAAGGGGGCCGCAGGTGGTCTCTTCCTCTTCTGTACGCTCCTGGATGAGGGGGGTAGCTGGGCTCCAGCGGCGTCGCCTGGAATCTCGGGGCTCCCGTAATTACTGCCGGATCAGTCATGCAAATCCGGGAATCCTGTCTAGGAATAGCGCTGATGTGCTGCAGATTATCCACAGTTATCACGTCGCCCTCTGCGTACAAACAAGCAGCCCCGTTCTCCGGGTACCGTCTGCACGACCGTCGCAAAGAGGCCTGCCATTAAATATTCAGACCAATATTGATAACTCAGAAAACATTTAATAATCATAATGTAGTGGAAAGTTCAGGTTGAGAAAGTACAAATCCAGACCAAGATTTTGTTTCAACCAACCAGTTGAGTACCCTGTGACTGACTCTTTATACTCAACTGGTTGGTTGAAACAAAATCTTGGTCTGGATTTGTACTTTCTCAACCTGAACTTTCCACTGCTGCCCTTCAGAATATCTATGGGAAACATGGGCTGCTTTAGCTCTTATCGTTCTGCGATATTCTGTTTAATGCAAGGTGTGACACCTGGGCATAACCATGAGGTCAGTCCCAGCAGCGGGATTTTTCCCAGGAAGCTTTTCTAATAACAGAGAAAGTGCCGGAATGTTGACCTTGTTTGGCCTTTTGCTTCAGAAGGCCGTTGTTAAGATTGGAACTTGAAAGGATATGACATACGAGAATAATAATCGATCCTTTATTGTCCCCGTGGGGAAATTCTTTTTTTACACCTCCCTCAACTTACTCTTCGTATATCAAGCTGTCCGTGAAGGGCAGCCACCTGTTGGGGCACCCAGGGAGCTGGGGGTTAAGGGCCTTGCTCAAGGACCTGCAGACCAAACCAGTGACCTTGTGGTTACAGCCACACACTGCCCCCTAAAATAAATGGATGGATGGATGGATGGTTGGTTGGGTTGGTCGGTCGGTTGGTTGGTATGGTCACATCACATCATGCTTGTAGTAGGTGCAAGGTCTTATAACCAGAAGGTTGTGAGTTTGAGCCTTTTGCGCACTACTGTTGTAACCTGGGGCTGTGGGCTTGAGTTTCTCTACTGTACTGGTCATGCAGTGCATGAGTGAGAAGATAATCAAAGATATAGCAGGTTGTTGTATCACTCCCAGGGAGGAAATGAGAGACATCCATCCATTGCATTTATTCTAATGATTATTTTTCCTCAGCAGAATATCAATGATTTCTGTTGTCATGGTGACTCTGGAATCCATTTCTCCTTCTGTGGATTGGCTACTTATATACTTATATACTACTGAACAATGTCCTGCTATACTGGAGGAGTGCAGTCACATATCATAGCTATATTCCAATCCTATAGGCCTTTGTGTGCGGGATAAACTGTTTTGATGTGTGGCTACACATGCAGGAACATATAGTATTACATGCACAGTAAAAATGTCAAACATCTCGTATTCTGTTTGGTTACTTATGGTTAAGGTTAGGGGTTCAGGTTGTCATTGTTAGGATTAGGGTTTTTCCCATAGAAATGAATAGATGGTCCCTGCAAGGATATAATACAAATGAGTGTGTGTGTGTGTGTGTGTGTGTGTGTGTGACACGCGACCTGGAACCCGGGACCCTGGGAGGGTGACATCGCCCTCCCTCCATTTATCCTGCTCCCCCCTACTCTCTCTTTCCTGGCTCAGGTGGTCGCATGCTACCACCAGCTGTCCTCCTGCGTGGGTGGCAGCACGGACAGCGGCCAGCTGCGGCACGAGCTGCGCCAGACCCGGGAGCGGGCGCAGCAGCTGGCCCTGGATAGCCGGCGGCTCCTGACGGCACGGCTGCGCGACAGATCCCTGGCCCCGCCCACGCGGCTGGAGGCTGAGCTACTGTGGGTGTCCTTCTCCTCCAGCCTGGAGCTGCTCCACGCAGATATGTGCAAGGTCTTCAGCGTGGGACAGAACTTCCCTCTGTCTTCCAACACTGGTGTTCTGGTACAGACCGGCATGCAAGGTAAGTCAGGTGACTTAGAGGTTAAAGGTCAACTCGGCCAGCAGAAGCAATAAGTTTCTGCTCCGTCCAGCTTTGCTTGTCAAGAGATTCACCTGCGCCGGTTTCATGACCCTGCAGTGAATATACAATTTACCATAAAAGTGGTACCTAAAATTGCAAGCTATTTTTCCCACTTTGATTTTGTAAATAATTGTGTATTATTGAGTTATTTTAACTGTAGATGCTTCAGTATTTAGCTTATTCATTCATGTGTGTTTGTAATATGCTTTTTTGGAAATAAAATCTCCTCATTAGCAGTGTTGGTCTTTTCTGGTCCAGAAGCTAAAAATCCAGACCAAGATTTTGTTTCTACCAACCAGTTGAATATTCTGTGACTGTGACTCTTTATGCTCAACTGGTTGGTAGAAACAAAATCTTGGTCTGGATTTGTGGCTTCTGGACCTGAAAAGGCCAACACTGCTCATTAGCGTCATAAAGTCATACGTAGCCATGGTGAAACCTCACGGTTTTGGGTGACACCTTCTAGGTCTGCTTGTCTTATGTAACCCTAGGGACACTGGCGTCTGATAAATTCGTAGCGATCTATGAGTGTTGACGAGCATCAGCTGGGAATTTGGCCAGATTCTATAAAAATCTTTAATGCCGTGCGGAGGTGTGTCGTTAAGGTGCTCTTAGCCGTGCCCCACGAGCTCGCATGACCGAGGATTTCTGCAGGGGAGACGGCCAAGGTGACCGCCCGAGCGCTGAGCCTGTCCGAGCCGGACCTGAACGAGGCCCCGGCCAGCATGGACCGTCTGGAGCAGGGCGAGCTGGAGGCGGAGAAGGCCCGCGTGGACCAGATGATCGAGGACATGGAGCAGCGGGTGAACGTGCTCCGGTGGACGGTGGAGGCGCAGGGGCCGCAGAATGCCGAGCCGGTCGGGAGCGGCTCCTCGCTGGCTCTGCTCTCCGTGCTGCAGGCGGAGCCGGAACAGCACCGGTGCAAGCGAGGGCAGATGTTTGTCGCCGCTCTAGTGGTCAGTCTGGCTGCTGCGGCCTTGCTTCTGTCTGTCGGTGTATTGTATCTAGGGTGAGCCCTGAGCCAGCCTCACGCTGCATTTCCACCAGAACCACCCAGGGGGAGCCGTAAGGTAACAACAGGCTTCCTGTCTGTCCAACTTATTGTCTCCACGTCCGGATCTACTGGATGATTTTACAGCTGGGATTGAACTTTCTATGATAACACAAGAGAGACTCCCTTTACTCAGATTACTACATCTTTTGATAAAATCTATTTGCGTTTATTAATTTGGCCAGCTGTCTCATCCCATCTCTTTGTAGCCAGCTTACTCGCGCAGATTGACGTTACATAATGTCATCTGAGACCATACTTTTTGGGGTACTCCTACCTCGATTCCGACTCTTGACGATTTTGACACTTCGTCGAAGCCTGGGGAACATGGACTAGCTAAAAATAAATCTTTAATCTGATTTATATAGAACACTTAGCGGCAATTTTCCCAAAACTTCTGGAAGAAAATGATCATGTTACTCTGAGGCTAGACGAAGGCAAGTTGAAGCTCATTCTTCCCGACATCAAATCCAACGCATCCTGCGCCAGCCAAGCCTGGGTTTTTTTTTATTATTGTTTAAAAACAACACCTTTGCCGATTGGACCAGGGGAGGATGACAAGGAGAACTACTGGTCAAAAGCCGTTAACAATACTGCCTTACAAAGGTGAAACACTGCAACTGTGTATTTTATCAAAATTGGGTTACGACCAAAATTGGGTCTCTTAGGCTCTGTCGTATCTCGTGAAAAATATCTTAGTTCAACTATGCTCAGTTTTGAAGAGAACACTGTCATCTACCTACCCTCTACACATACAGGTGGACAGTCAAACAATTTTGAAGCCCTTTTTCTTAATCTCAGTGTCAGCTTAGTTACTGTGCTGGCAGAATACATCACCAGTCTGTAGCCAGTTAAGCTCCTTGATCCATTTGACAGTTTAATAGTTAGATAAAAAATAAAAATAGCACATTGTTTTCTGAAAATACAGTAGTATGTAACCACATATGTACGGCTGGATTGATTTTAAAGTTTTGCTCTAGGGATTTTCTCCCACAGAAGCAAACTCATGGATCTGCATATTTAAAATATAGCTAAAAATGCAATGTAATATATAGGTAAAAAAAAACACTTTCCTAAAAATTAACAACATGACTTTTTGACCATCATATGAGGTGACTTGTGCTAAATGCTTCAGATATTCAGATAAAATGTCTAAGCCAAGGTGCCACACTAGGATGAAATTAAACTGAATAACAGGTATTGAAAGATAACAGGTATCGAAATATATTCTTTCGTACTGAATTGTTGAATATTTGATAAAGGTACAGGATTGTCTGATGGAAAGATAACTGTCCCCAAATGTATAAATGATGGTAATTACTGTTGAACTGGTGCTTAGGTTTGTGGGACTTCTATGAATGAAGTAGGCCTATGTTGTGTATCTGAAGGTGACATGTGGTTTTTAAAGACCCACCTTTGCTGGTACTCCATCCCTCAGTTACTATGGTGACACACTCCGACTGTCCTACCCGTGATCACCAGGATAAATTAAAACAGTGAATTCTTTTGTCGGGGTGTGCATATATTACCATGTCGTTTAGAAGAAGAAGACACTGCATGCTGAATGCTGCGCGTCGATTGCCTGCTTTTCTGCATGCCGGACGTGTACGGTACTGTGCAAAAGACTCAGGCAGTCAAAGAATGTAAGTATGTATTTGCACAGAAGGAAAAATGAATTAACATTAGAACATATGTAAATTAACAGTAATACAATGAAAAACTTAAATTCTTCTGTTCTCCAAAATGAGACGTATTTCCTTGGATGGCTGGATTAACACCGCTTCAGTTCCCAAACCTCCCCTCGGGGGCACCCCAGTCATTCCGTGTATTTCTTAAATTTGTCCTCGGGGCTCAATTAATTAATTAATTAACTGACGTGATTTGTTAACCTTCGTCCCGTGTTGGCTTTCTGTTCGCATCTCTTATGTTAAATGACTCCGTAAGGAATTGATTAACCAGACCAGACGGGATAATGATCCGAGTCTGAAAGACATGGCTGCATCGGATATTTGCTGCAAATGCTGGGGTGATTTTAGGAGAGGTTTTGCAATGGCTAAGCTGACACGCTTTAGCAGACATAACACCACAGTTTTACGTCAACAAGAAGATTATTTTAATCTCATTTTCTTTGATTGCTTAATACTTTTGCGCGGTATTGTATGTGTTGCAAAATAATTTGAAGCACCTCTAAAATTCTGTTTATTTCAAGGAGAAATTTTGGGCATGTGTTCTTTTTTCAGCAGCTGATCCAGCCATCCCTCCGTCTTCTGGCTGATAGCTGATAGGAGCTTCTTTCCCCACATTTTTCAAATGTTTTTAATAACTCCCTAAACGACTAGCATACCTTTTTTTACCGAATACAATTTGATGTTCTCCTCTCCAGTCTGAAACGCCTTCAATTCCTTTACCCTCCTGTAATCATTTTGCTTGGCTGAGACTGATTCTCTGCAGCACTGAGTTAAGTATTTTTTTTTTAAGTATTTTTTAAGTGTCTCTGCCATTGTGAATTGATGATGCACAGTTTAGGTTCAATAACAGTTAAGGGTCCATTATCATTAAAAAAAAAGTATTTTAATTCCTACTAAAGACATGTGACTTGTGTTTTTGTGTTATTTGCATGATGCAGGGCTCCCAATGTTCATGTCATGAATTAATCCATTTGTGAGACCTTCTAAAGTTCTACATTTACCTCAACATAGTTACATTATATAGGCAAAAGCATTGGGACACCTGGCCATTACACCTACAGGAACTCTCATGACATCCCACTGTAAATCCATTAGGCATCAATATGGAGTTGGTCCCACTCTTCTGGGAAGGCTTTCCCCAAGATTTTGGAGTGTGTTGGAATTTTTTCCCATTCGTCCAGAAGAGCATTTGTGAGGTCACGCACTGATTTTGGACGTGGAGCCCTGGTTCACAATCTCCACTGTAATTCATCCCAAAGGTGTTTGATTGGGGTTGAGGTCAGGGCTCTATGTGGGGCAGTCAAGTTCCACATTAAACTCACCTAACCATGTCTTTATGGACCTTGTTTGTGCACTGGGGCACAGTCATGCTGGAACAGAACAGGGCCTTCCCTAAACTGTTCCCACAAAGTTGGAAGCATAGAATTGTCCAAAATGTCTTGGTATGTTGAAGCGTTGAGAGTTCCCTTCACTGGAACTATGGAGTCCAGCCCAGCCCCTGAAAAACAACCCCATACCATTATCCCTCCTCCACCAAAGGTAACGTTCTCCTGGCATCCGCCAAACCCAGACTCATCCATCAGACTGGCAGATAGGGAAGCATGATTTATCATTACACAGAACAGCTTTCCGCTGTTCCAGAGTCCAGTGGCGGCGTGCTTTACAGCACTCTCTCTGATGCTTGGCACTGCACTCGGTGATGTGAGGCTTGCATGCAGCTGCTCGGCCATGGAAGCCCAATCCAGGAAGCTCCCAGTGCAGAGTTTTTATGCTGGAGTTAATGCCAGAGGAAGTTTTGAACTCTGTAGTTATTGAGTCAACAGAGTTTTATGTGCCTCAGCACTGGGCGACCACGCCGTTACTTTACGTGGTCTGCTACTTCATGGCTGAGTTGCTGTTGTTCCTAAACGCTTCCACTTTGAAATAATACCACTTACAGTTGACTGTGGAATATCTAGCAGGAAATAAATTTCACAAACTGATTTATTGCAAAGGTGGCATCCTATGACAGCACCACGCTTGAATTCACTGGGCTCTTCAGAATGACCCATTCTTTCACAAATGTTTGTAAACCTGACTGCATGGATAAGTGCTTGATTTTACTCACCTGTGGCAATGAGTCTGAATAAAACGCCTAAATTCAACGGAGGAGGTATGTCAAGAGGTACTTTTATCCATATAGTGTATATTTCAATGCATAGTTACATTTATTTTTGCATAGAAATACCACTGGAATATTTACTGGAGCAATTTTTCTTTGGCTTCTATAGCAGGGCTTCTCCTGGGTTGGCATTTCTGGGGTCATGACCCAGTACAATTAGCCAATGAATTACCAGCTATTTGAATAAGGCCCTGTAACCCCACCCAGATGACCCCCATATTCTCACTAAATAAATAAATAAATGAGAAAATGCAGGTGCCAGCTTTCTGGTTTTAAAAATGCACAATCACTTCAGTGTTGCTCCCAAAAAAAACTATAATTACAGTTCCTGCCGTCGCACAGATAAACACATCATAGCATACGCCGGCTAGCAACACTCTTTTAAGTGGAGACTTCAAAGAAACAAACACACCCGATCCTCGCTACACCAGTTTACCATTTCCCTGAAGCACCTTAAAAGTTACCGCCCAATATAAATATCTATTGCAGATCGTCTCGCTTTGGATGATAATTCATAAATTCCAAATATAGTCATGTGGTAAATCTTAACAACGTATGCATAACTAAGTTCACAAACTGCAACTCTAAGAATGACTTTCGAGCCAAATGCTTTTCTATAAAGATGTGCACATTATTTAGTTTGTTTTATGTATTTAATGTACGGAAAATGAAACAGGAATTAATTCTCACTTTTGCTGTTCTGTGCTGGTGGAGTCGTATCAAGCTGGAAAACAATTAATAAAAAATAATCCTGCTGCAGTGAAGTATTGCCTCCATGTTTGTTTTCAATGTGATCTGGCATTTTTGTGCCCTTGGTAATTTTTTCATCACAACTGGCGGGTTATTTGACTTGGCCTGAATGCTCTTTGAACTTTTTCTGTTTTCCAACTGTAGATCTGAAGCTGAACGCCTAACATGTTACAGAGCAAATGACGTCTCCTATCTTTAGAAAAAAGTTCTTCATATGAATGATAGATTTGTAAAGCTATATGTCTATTAAAAGAGGGACTGAGGGGAAAAAAAAAACGCATCGTAATAGTTACTCTGTAGAGGTCTGCCATCAGACTGTATTCAAATATGTCAACAGGCAAAATTAAAGTTGAATTTAATTGTGGATTGTTTTGTTTGATTTAACCTAGTTTCCAACAAAGAAAGAACCAAGATACTGAGAGATTCAGAATCTTCAAAGTCTTTCAGGTATTGGACAGATATCCATGCTGCACAGTCAGGGGGATGTAGGGTCATTTAAACCAACAAAAACATACCCAGACAGAGATTCAACAAGCTGAGACAGGCAGCAATAATTCGAGTACAGGCTGGCTGGATCCACTTCTCCTGCTGCATGGACACAACATGGCTGGAAAAGCCCAACAAGAAGTAAAATAAAACATCTGGAAACATCAGCGCTGATCGATGCATCACTCACAGTACTCCATTTAAAAGGTTTTTTTTTAAATGTACGTACTCTAAACAACCAGAAGGATGTTTGTGTTTTTTTAGCAGTAGTTACACACTAGTGTGGATATTTTTCCATATATTTCTTGACAGATTTGTATATAAATTGTCTGATTTGCATATTAATTTGTTGAGCAATACCTGCTGCACAATCTAATTACACTGAAGCTGTGAATTGCGTGTCACAGCTGAGATAATGTAACTGGGGCACGGTGAATATCACTGATCTGGAAAAGAATGGGTCACCCTTAACATAGAAATTCTTTATTTAGCAAGATGCAGGTTTTCATTTACAGTGAATCAACATTACTAATGCCTATTATTCCACTTCTGCTCTGTGTGTGTGGTGTTTAGATATGGGCACTCTGATATCCTCCAGAAATCTAATGATGCGAATTTAGACTCTAAACTGCTCAAAATGCATGTCTCTGCATTTAGGCCTTAAGAAGCAGAATCCAGGAACTGTCCTGTTCTGGATAAGCAACTGGAAGACAGATAAATGTTATATGCAGCATATTCCTATATTAAAATTTCAATAACTTATGAACATTCACATCTCCACAGTGCAATTCGTTTATAATTTGATAAACAGTTATCTTAATCTATAGCTGGGCCCGCTGCCTATACGCAGAGGCGCGCTAAATCAGGCGAGCCCTGTCGGCACTGTAGGGGGCAGCAGCGTGACAGCCGAGCTGCGGTGCGGTAATCTGATGCGCAGAGAGAGGCGAGGAAGACGAAGAATAAGAAGTGGAAACAGGAGAAGTTCGGGCATTGATTGGTTCTGTCTGTGCACGGATTCCGCTCTGGGGGAATAAGTGTGTTTTTACTTTGACTGGGGCTTCTCCTCTCCAATCAGAACTGTGGATCATGCACTGACAACAAACAAAAGACCTAACGAGCTAGCCGCTCATGTCTGGTTTTAATTTTATCTGTCAGATTGTTTGCTTTTAGAGAGAATAAACCGTCTTCTTACGTTTGATTAGCTTGCAAGCAAACGTCGCAGCGCTTAATTCGTTTGCGGGCGGGCCAGCTCTAGAAGTTTTTATCGGAGCTAGCTTGGTGAGCTAGCTGGCCGTTTGCTTGTAGGTTATATTTTAATAGATAGCTGAACGTCCGATCGCCATGTCCGGGCAGTCCTCGGGCTGTGGGTTTCTGATGTCGGTCGTGGTTCACGGAGACTCGACTCTCAGCGAACAGGAAAAAGAGCTCAGCCAGCGTCTCCGGCGACTCTACCCGGCCGTAAATGAACAAGAGACCCCGCTGCCCCGCTCGTGGAGCCCCAAGGACAAGTTCAGTTACATCGGCTTGTCTCAGAACAACCTCCGAGTGCATTATAAAGGTACGACGCGGGGCTGCTGGCTAGCCGCTCGTGCTAGCCGCCGGCCGGCCAGCTAACGAGCCCTTCAGTCACAAACCAAGCAGCGACAGTTTCAGACACCGCCATCACAAACACCTCTCATGACGGCTAACAAACAAAACAGGCCGTTTTATAAATTTTAATAAACATACTTTAAATGCCGCTATGGCGCGGCCTCTACGTTTGAAGAACTAGCTCCTTAGCCACCATAACGTATGTGTGTATATTTGTAATTTTTGAATCCCGGATTTAAACAGGAGAATAACGCCAGTGGTGCCCTGCTTGTCGTATTAATTTAAATTCCGCTTAATATTAATTATTTTAGCTAGCTGCTGCTAAGCGGGCATTGGGTCGTTTGGTACAAAATGTTCCAGCTAAATGGAGCTAAGCTAAGATAATCCAGCGAGCTCGCCTGGTCAGCAAGGCTGCCCGGGGTCCCCTAGGCGGCTGCCCGTCCTTAACCGAATATTTCGGCCAATTTCGCCTTTATATTTAAAATTAAACCTTGGCACGATGCTATATTTAATTGATTACCGAGATTAAATCGCGAGCATTTTGTTGCCGCACACTTGGCTAGCCCGATAGCTGACAGCTAGCACTGTGGGTAGATAAAAGTGCTTTTTAAATTAATTATTTGGGGAATATGGTTTAGTTAAACGCTCGCTTCAAGGTGGATGAACTGTCTTCGTGTTTATTATTGAGTGTTTTAGCCGTGTTGGGTAGCGCCGGCCTCCGGACGTGTCGGCTAGCTGCTTAGCTCTCTAGCTAGCAGGCTATTGTGGCAGCATAACAACAAAAGGCTGCGTGCGGTCAGTCCGCTGCCGTCGGCGTCCATCCGTCCCTCCGCCGCTGCGGTGCCGCAGTCCGGCCGCCGGGCGACGAACCCGCGTCCCGGCTGCGCCCACGGAGCCCTTTAATGCCCCCGCTCGTTATTCAGCCCAGCCCCTGCGGTTAAAAACGTATTTTGGGGACACCAGGTTTGGGTTTGGAAACTGAATAGGAGATGGCTGCCTTGAGGGGGGCGCCTGACGTGTGTCAGGGTAAATAAATCACCCGGGGTGGGGATACAGCCCCCATACCCCGTTAAGGTGTTTCCAGAATGGCCCCAGTGACCCCCAAAGACGCCTGTAGTGTGTCTGTGTGTGACACCCTAACAAAGAACAGGACAGGGCCACACACACAGGCTAGGCCTTGTAATAACAGGAAGCTGAGAGGTTTAAGTCCTACACGCAGCCCTGACAGAGGAACCCAGCAAAAAGGGGGCTTTTTTTCCTGTTGCAGCGAAAACAGAAATTGGGCCTCCCTCTCCAGAAACGTGATGTCTAAGAATAGGGATGGTGCCGCTGTGATCGCTTTATACGGGCTTTTGGCTTTTGGTTGTGCCTAACCATGCATCTTTTTCTTAGTCTTTGTTGGAGTCTTTTGAGCTCTGCCTTGGATTGTCCACACATACAGCTGTGTCACCTTTCAGCAAGTTAAACTGGTTTTCAGTTCAATTATAGCAAGTGACAGTAATGAGTAAGTCCTTTTGTGGCTAAGACATCGATGCATGGCCTATGAAATATGTGTACTGAAACATTTATATGTTGGTATATTATGAGAAATTAGGACCAAATTTCAAATGTATAAAATATATAAAGATGTTTTATTTTTATGGCCATTGTGGGCGAAAATGGTGGTTTTTGATACCTAAAATGCAGTAAATATGACATTGCGCGTTCAGTCTGCATAGTAACTGAAGAGAGTTACGCTAAAGGAAAAACAGGTTTGCAAATGGCTGCCAACGGTCTCTGGTGTGGTTGGTCCTTTGCCTCTGGCAAAGGCAGACCTAGACCGTTTGGGGAATTTAACCTCAGACCCTTCAGGGAAGGGATCTTTCATTATCCCCGTCCCCGTTCCATTTTTAACCGCGCAGCCCTTTCCTTTGTCCAGGCACTCGTGTGCTCTTGTCTGCCTTGTTGCTGGGTGCGCTGTGACCCCGATGAGGAAGGGCTCTATCCTTAATTATGGTGGTGGCCTCACTGACACTATGATAGTGTTTCTCAAACCGGTCCTCGGGGACCTCCAGACAGTCTGTGTTTTTGTTCCCTCCCCGTGGACTGTCTGGCTTGAGCTGGGAAGGAGCAAAAACACGGACCTTCTGGAGGTCCCCGTGGACCATATTGATAAACACTGCTCTGTGATATGGTCCACGGGCAGTGGGACGAAATCCATGTAGCTGACCTGTATCAGGCTTGAGAAAAACATACCTTGTTTTTTTTTTAATTCCCGGGTTCAGGTTCCAACCATCATTGCTCTTAAATCTTCCCCCAGGACCCTTAATATTTTGTTTAGTCCTGTAATTGTTTTGTAATGTACATCATCATGCCCATTACTTTTTTACGATTGTGTTTATGACTCCAGTGATGCATTTTTAGCTGTTAATTCTTTGTTGGTACTCTCATTGTATTTTGGGGATTTATGAAGTGTGAGACTGAAGGAGAAGTTAAAGTGACGAAGACTGTATTCCTGAATAGTGACGGTCCAGAACTGCTGTACGTCGCCCATATGAGCGTTTGTGTGTTTGCTGTGTTGAGTAGGTACCATGGGCACTTCCCGGTTTCCGGGGTGTGTTTGGGTAGGGCAGGGGTCTCCAACTCCGGTCCTGGAGAGCTACTATCCAGTCGGTTTTCTATCCTACCTGGCTTCTGATGAGCCACACTTGCTCCTGGTATTTACCTGAGAACAAGTGTGGCTCATCAGAAGCCAGGTAGGTAAGAAAACTGCTCTCCAGGACCGGAGTTGGTGACCCCTCGGGTAGGGGATAGTGTTGGTGTTGCCCAGGCTTGGCAAGCTGTTGTTTTTTTTTTTTTTTTTTTTGTGGTCCTCACCCGTCTTCTCCCGGCAGTGACCACGTGACCTTTGCCCTCTGAACATTTAGACTTTCTCCACTTGAGCTTTAAGGCGGTGTGAGGAATGTAGCCCTGAAAGAGTGGGTCGCGTGGTCAGACCCTGCTCTGCCGAAGACTTCTGCTTAAAGGCAGAGGAGAGAAGAGAAGAGAGGAGAGGAAAAGATTCCCTCAGCTCCAACTTAGGCTTCATGGCTGAAATGTGAGAAGGTGCCCCTGGCCGGGTCTGTCGTGACCTTCACAGCTCTGGTGATGGTGTTGGATACTCACGATGTTGTCAGACCTTAAATCTTTTTTTACTGACACTGAGCATGTACAGCATTTGCTGTAGACTGTCTGATCTAAAAACATTAAGTCCTTTGTGAGAGATGCAGAAATAACTAGTGGTGTAGATCATTTGGGGGACGTACCTGGTTTAGCTTTTGAGCCACCGTTCCACCTATAGTTGGACCGTAGGCGGCGGCTGTAACGAAGATTATTTTTATTTGTTTATTTTCTGAAGAGCTCTTTAGGTGTAAATGGGGGGGGGTGGGGGGGATGGGCGCCCATCTGTCTTCACCCTGTGGCTGGGGGGCGGAGCTGAGGGTGGCCACATTCTATTTGGGCAGATTTGTTGCACACATTGTCTGAATGGGGGGTTTGTGTCTCGGGAATGCTCGTCCCCGAAAGAGGTTTTGCCCACGCGCGAAGAGAAGTAGCGGCTGCTGGCCGCCTTCGGGGCCTCCGGGCTCGTCTTCATTCCACGTGCTCCTCTTCATCCATCTACTCGGCCTTCGTTTCCAACTTTTTCCAGCATCCGTGGATGATGGATCTCATTGGCCGCTTGGCCATTTGCTTTATTAGTGACCCAAGGTCATAAATCTTACTGTTCAGTCTTGTGTTGAAGCCCTCAGTTGTTACATATCCAAAGCTCCTGACCTGTCTGGTTGAATCTTATTGGCTGATTGTTTGAAGTTGAAGTACGTATAGTTTGAAGTATAAGATGTAGTGTTTGCCAACTTCCCCCTCCATCTCCCCCCCCCCGAAAGTGAAGGACGAGCTCCTAGTAGGATGGCAGTATTGTAGCCTTCCTCGCTGCCTCATGTATCTGGATTTCACCGTAGCATGACTCCACCTGACAGGTCGTTCTGTGTGGGAGATCAAAGCCAGCCTCGGAGGAAGTTCGCCACAGAGTGGTTTTTCTAGAACACCTCATTGTCCCGGCGCTCTGCGACGGCACCCTCCATCTTGTTTGACGTTCCGCTGATGACGCCACTTCCCTGAGATATGTAGCCTCCGTCTCAGACGGACGGCTTCTGTTCCCGCGGACTGAAATGGTCGCGGCGTCGGGTATCTTGGATTGTGGGATTTCGGATCCAAGGGGTCGTTTTCCGAGGAAGATGCGTCTGACCAGGGACAACCTAGCTTTGTTATCAGAGGAGCCGCTCGGAGGCAGACAGTGTCAGTCCTTCTTTGGCCTCATGCCAAACTAGCGAATACATCAGTAATGAACTTCTGCTCCCGGGTCACGTTTAGGGCGATTTCTTGATTTTTATCCTGTCCAGCCGTCTACTAAAATGGTCCTAAACACTAACAGTAATTTTTTATAATGTTGGTGAAAAACCGATAGAATAACTTTTTATTATTATTATTATTATTATTATTATTATTATTATTATTTAATATATTTAAAGTATTGACTTGATTTGCCATAGGCACGGTGGTCAGGGTCATTCCTGGGGATGTTTATGTCGGGGGATACAGCTGGGATAAAATGAGAATCCCCCCCCTTCTATGAACAGTCTGTTTCCTAGTAACCGCAGCTGTGTCAGTTGAGCAGAACATGGCTGCTTGATTCCATGCCCCGATTGGTCACATTCTATATGCCCCACCCCTTCCTCCTCACTACTTATATCACATATAAGCAGACACTTCTCAGGGGTTTCCTTCTCTTTCCGGAACTCTGGCTGTAAAATATTTATATATAAATCACATTGCTGCATGCGTTTCGGTTTTCCTGAAGAAAAAGGGGCCGGTCCTCTTTCGGCTGCAGAGTGAGTGAAAGGACAACGGACCAATCGCACAAGTGAGTGAAAGGACAGCTGACCAATCGCACGTAGTTGACCAAACCTGCCCTTCCTTTTGGTGCTCACAGGTCACGGGAAGACCCCGAAAGATGCAGCTTCGGTGCGGGCGACCCACCCCATCCCAGCCGCCTGTGGGGTCTATTACTTCGAGGTCAAGATTGTCAGCAAAGGCAGGGACGGGTGAGTTTGTTTAGCCAATCATTTCCTTCCATTTAGTCCCAGCAGTAGCATCTTTAAATGTTTAGCAAATAAGGTCAATTATACACGCAGTGGAAGTGCAATTGTTTGTTAAATTACTGCGTTCCAGTCGTTCTGAAGTAATGTACCCTTTGCCCTGTACTCTGAGGAAGTCCCTCTGCAGCAAGCTTTCTGACGAATTTCGGTAGCCAGTTTACCCTCATTTGTCTTCTCTGGAAAACAACAGGATGTCACCAATTAGCACCGATTAGTAGAATGGGCTCGGACATGTGGGGTATGTTCTGCGTTTAGTGGCGGCTGTGTGATGTTTACTTCATGAGGGCATGGAAACAGAGGGCGAAAGTCAATTAAATTCTTAGTGTAAAATATTAAATGTGTGCGATACTTTTAACTACTTGGGCCCTGGCTAGGCTGTAATGGTTGTTTATGGATTGTGGTATAAACCTCTTTTCTACAGGACCCAGCAAATCAGTGATTATGATAATTTTATGTGCTTATGTGGGTGGAGCATGTGGTGTCTGCTTCTTGTATGGAAATATTGCTCTTTTTAAACTACATTTGTGGCATTTTGTGTTAAACATGTGCGTTTATTGAATTAAAATCTAAGCCACGACTCGTTGTGTAGATAAGTATGCAAGTATGCCGTGGTACTGTTTGATATGTTTCACATCGAGCTGTTAATTCATGAGAGTTCAGCCGAGGTGAAAAGGTTAAGTCCGCGCCCACTAATCCCAAAAAGCATGGCTTTGAATGAGCTCTGAAATGTCGTAACTCTGTGTTAGGGCACAATTTTTCTGTAAAATGTAGTATAATGCTTTAAAAGGCCTGAATTAAAGAGTTTAATATTTTAATTCTTAAAATGTTGCTATATGTTTTAATTATTCAACAATCAACTTTTTTTTTTAATCTAACCATATGAGGCTTGCTACAGAAATAGTTGCATTAATCTCTCAGTAATAGTCCAACTAATTGCGCAGTGATCACACATTAATTGCTGGAAAGTGAAATGAACTGTAAGAGGCAAAAACATGTCTGAAGATTGAGGCGTACCAGGGGTCCGGTTAACATGGCACAGATTGAGAAGGTGTTGAGATCACAAGTGGAGGTGATTCGGATTAGTAACTGCACCGATCCGTAGCTATTAGACTGATCGCCACCGATCCACCTCCCATACTTGCTTATATTCAGCAGTCTGTAAAAAGATGGCTACTATTTCTTGATAAATCAATCCAAACAATCGCACAACAGCTCTTTCTCGTTTTAAGATGTTTTTTGCAATAATTAAGATGAACGTTGAAAATGTCACTTTTTTTTGCCACTCAGTGGGTGTGAGCACAGTGACACCCGGCTGCTGTGACGTCATGCGCATACCTTTTGCAGTACGAGGAGCGTATGAACACTTTGTCACCCTCTTATCTATCAGGAAGTATTTTACGTTTTTAACAACTACTAGCAAAGCGATTTGCAGTCTTTGTAAAAACAAAGCTTTGAGAGGTGGAAGTAGCGTTTAGTGGAAAATCCCACTATACGAAGTGCACGCAGTTGTGCGAGACGATGCGAGAAAGACGAAAAAAGCAGCGGATGATTTGGGAGTCGCTTGCTTGGGCTGTTCTGCACACTCCTCACTACAGCTTGTGATACACAAAGACCTGCTATCGTAATGAAGTGTAAGTGACACTGTTGCTTGTGTGAGGAAAAATTGTGACATTTTAAGCATTCGTTGCTCGAGTACACTCTCCTGGATGATATTCGGATTGAACAACAAATGCCTCAAAAACGCTTAACTCGATGGACAAACACGGTGATAGAGTGCGTTATGTATGATTTTCGTAGTCTAAAGATTGTTTTGGCATGATTTTTTTTCCATTTGTATTTACTAGTTCAAAAATATGATAAAAAAAATCTAGTATAAATGTATATATTTTATTAAAATGTTACAGTAAAAACACTGGAATCTATTATTGGAATTGGACTGGAACTGGAAAAAATGTGGATCCGGCCCTCCCTTACTCACAACCACTCTATAATATGTTTCACATCTAACTGTTAATTCATGAGCATTCAGTAGAGGTAAAAGTTTAACTAAAGGTGCGTGAGCAAAAAGTATAGCTGGTGGTAGTGTGTCCCCTCATGGAGGAAGAGGAAAAGTGTTTTCTCGAGTGTGTCCTCCTGAAGGGACAAAGTCTGTCGTTTTTCTCCTCATCACTTTCTGCTGTCGCTTTTTCAGGTACATGGGAATCGGTCTCTCAGCCCAAGGCGTCAACATGAACAGACTCCCAGGTGAGGTGTAGAGTGCCGGGGTCCCGTGTGGCCGGCGTGAGTGGCCAGCCTCACTTTCATGGCATTCTGGGTACGGGGAGGGCCTACTGTAGAGGATGGGGTGTTTGTCACACTGCCTGAAAAATAATATTCAGTTATGGTTAATCCTTGGCTCTAGTTTTGAGTGGACCTTTTGTCCAATGGGGTGTGGCTTCTGTCTTGTGGGGCGGAGCTTTCTTTTCCTATGTTTGTTTTGATTTGCCGATTGCCTTTGTGCATTTCATACCCTATGTGTTTTGCCACCCATGTGGTGTTAAACTTGGGTTGTATGGAGAACCTCATTTAGAAGATAACCAGCTAACCAGCCTGTGTGTGATGCAGGTTACAGGCCATAAGATGGCGCTGGCAGGTAAAGCGATGGTCTTGCCAGATTCCTGGGCTAGGATGAGCGGTTTAGACTGTGTCATGGGCACCTCGCTGCCAGTAAATGAGTAACCAGACTACCTCCGATACACCCCGGGGGGGGTGGTTCTGACTTGAACTGGGTGTGCGGCTGTGTGGCGGGTGTTGCCGAAATCGCTAACGGACATCAAGGAAGTTTCACCAGGGTAAATCTAGGACAGTAAGTAAAGGACAGGATAGAGGAGAGGATGCAGGGGATGAGGGAGTCACATGACCCCACCACCAAAAGGCCCCAGACCACAAGGCTACGGAGGCCAGCAGTGGACAAACCTATTGTTTGGGGAAAGGTGAAGCTGTAGCCCGGTTGCAGATTGAGAGTCGAGCGAGAGTCGGTGATTCCTGCCTTTCTGATTACGGACCATTCAGCTTGGGGAGAAATATTTGCTCACTTCCTGTGTCTTTTTTATTTTATTTTTTTTGCAATGTCTGGCCTTTTTTTTCCCTTCATGTTTTGTACTATTGTCCATATTGTAGCCTATAGTCTACATCAGGTGATAGATTGTACAGCAGTCACTGTGCCAAGTTTCTGTTTGGAAATGTGGTCACTGTGATGTTTCTGTGATGGCACTACTAGCCTGTGAGGACGCCACGCCTTCAGTGAGCCAACATGCTAATCCAAGCTCTGAAGTGCCTGTTGATGCACAGTGGGTTGTGAATAGGTGAATGTGAGGTAGCGTTAAGCTGTACGTTGCTTGTTATCAGCGTGATTGGTTTTACCGTCCATGTTGCAGTCGTAAGAAATTGCCCAGTGCCTAATTGAGAAATGTAGTTTTGATGGCCCTCCTTCCGCTTCTTCAGGTTGGGATAAACACTCGTATGGTTACCACGGCGACGACGGCCACTCATTCTGCTCCTCGGGCACGGGGCAGCCGTACGGGCCCACGTTCACCACGGGCGACGTCATCGGCTGCTGTGTCAACCTGATCAATAACACCTGCTTCTACACCAAGAACGGCCACAGTTTAGGTAGGACGGCACAAGGACACACGCCTGCAGGTTCAAACGAGAACATCTATGGCCTGATAAAAACATTTAAAACTGTGCTTAGTGAAGTAAATCTGTCAGAACTGCTCTTTAAACATCAGATCAAGCCGCCGATGAGAATCTCGTTAAGGGGGTGTCCCGTTAAGTCCACTCTGGCTAATCCCAGAAAGCAGGCCAGTTACCCTGTTGATGATAGTGTCGGTGAACCAGTCCAGTGTGAGTGGCTCTCAGAATTTCGTGTGAAGCTGGAATGTTTGTGGGCTACTTCTCTGTGATGTTTACCGATGTATCGCTATGGAAACCGGGCCGTCATGTTTTCATCATGGTGCGTTCGGTCTCGTTTTTGCCGTGATGCTCGGTTTATGGCTTAATATGATGTGTCTAACATGCACTGAAGCTGTTCTCACCTCTGGTTTCCCAGGTATTGCCTTTACTGATTTACCGGTGAGTAAAAATGGACGATCGTCTTCACTGGAAAGTGTTTGTCTTCCTAGTAAAGATTTGTGACCTGTGTGGTATTTGTTGTGACTTTACACGGGAATGCTCTGTACTACAGGTAAAGCTGTATGCTGCCTCACTGGTAGCGAAGATTCTCCTCTGGGGATTCACTGAAAATATGAACCCATAGACCTTTAATGGGAAAAGATTCAATGGTTTCTGCAAGAATTCAGTGCTGATGCACACTTTGCTTTGTTAAGCAGATTTTTAATAATTATTATTATCCTTTAAGCAGGGGTGTTAGAGATTTCGCCCCCCATGAAAGCATATCCCCCAACCCAGACCGATGCAGATATGTTACAAATTTTTTAGACTCCCTGTCGCTCAGGGGTCCTTGGAATCATCCTAACTGCCCCCCTTTACACCCCCCTGTCTTTCAGAAACCTATTTACAGGATGTATGATGTTGCAATGCTTGTCATTGGTGCTGCGATGAGATTCTAGCACTTATGCCACTTTTGGGAGAGTCTATAACGCGGTTTGTCTTAGTCGCATGCCGCTGTGTCTGCCCCCCCCAGCCGAACCTCTACCCCACAGTGGGCCTGCAGACACCCGGCGAGGTGGTGGACGCCAACTTCGGCCAGCACCCGTTCGTCTTCGACATCGAGGATTACATGCGCGAGTGGAGGACCAAGATCCAGATGCTGATCGGCAGGTTCCCCATCGGGGAACGCGAGGGCGAGTGGCAGTCCATGATCCAGAAGTGAGTCTCGGCCGGGCCTGGGGCAGACCGTGTACCTGAGACGCTGCTTTGCGGCCCCATGACCCACGTCTCTGCTCCCCTCCCCTCCCCTCCGGCAGGATGGTAGCTTCGTACTTGGTCCACCACGGTTACTGTGCCACAGCGGAAGCGTTCGCACGTTCCACGGACCAGACAGTGCATGAGGAGCTCGCCTCCATCAAGAACAGGCAGAGTGAGTCCCGATCTGATCTTAGATCTACATCAGGCTTAAGAGTGCAATGTCCGCTTGTATTTGTTTGAGAGACCATGCATTGGTCATACAGGCATCGTGTATCAATCCTACAGCATGGGATCCAGTACCACAGCTATTACTTCCGATGTCATCGTTAGCCCCTAGCAGCAGAATGCATTTTCACTGAGAATGTATTTAAAACAGGGACCCAAACCCAGACTGACAGGACCCAGACTGTCTACCAATCAAAATGAAATTAACTTAAGACTCGGCCATTGTGGAGGGGCGAGAGGGTTCCTGCACAGGCCGTGTGGACAGCATGCGAGCCTAGTGCCCCTCCTTTGTGCCCACCCCCTATAACACGGTCACCCTGTGCCCCCCCCTCCACCTTCTGCCCCGCAGAGATTCAGAAGCTGGTGCTGTCAGGGCGGATGGGCGAAGCCATCGAGACGACACAGCAACTGTACCCCAGCCTCCTGGAGAGGAATCCCAATCTTCTCTTCATGCTCAAGTAAACGTCTGTCCCGCCCAGGCCCCTGGGCCGGCAGTGGGCGTACAGGGTTGGCTGCCCGTTTCCAAGTCTCAGTCTCATAAAATGAGACGTTCTGTTGATTATAACCTGCTTAAGGTCAGCTTAAACTCGCTCTCATTGGCCTGGTGCTTGCCCGACTTGACATCCGCTGGAGTTTCAGTATACCGTCTCCCGGAAGGCATTCGCCACGCAGTGCCTTCTCGCGTCCGAGTCCGCACCAGCTGTACAGGCACGGCTAATCGATCCCCGAGCGCGGGATCAGGTAACGCGGCCGCTTCTCTTCGCAGGGTGCGGCAGTTCATAGAGATGGTGAACGGCACGGACAGCGAGGTGCGCTGCCTGGGCGGCCGCAGCCCCAAGTCCCAGGACAGCTACCCCGGCAGCCCCCGGCTCTTCGGCAGCCCCAGCCTGAGCCCCAGCCACGGGCCCAACATCCACAGCCTGGCCTCACCCACCAAAGCCGGCAGCTCCCACTCCTACCTGTCAGGTAGGCGAACGGCCGCTGCTCTCTAGCAATGTGGGGACCTGCCACAGGGCAATCATCACCCCCCCCCCTTTAAGCTCAGTCTCTGTCTTACCAGTCAGCGAAAATGAGATTAAAATGGATGTCGGAATTAATGTTAGCGGGCCGCGTTTTGGGCGTAATAAATCACGGAGGGGGGGGGAGCAGTTTTATTATGCTGGTCTGCTGTGCTGTTTGTAGGCCAGGCTTTCCATTAATGCACCGAATCCGGCCTGAGCCAGTCGCTGTCGCAGTGGCACGCTGCGTGCTGGAGGAAGCATTCAACTACGCCATATATACAACACAGGGCTTGCCATTTGTCTATGGGAGGGGGAGGAGGGACAGGTTCTGCATGCTAAATCTGTATCCCCCCCCCTCAGTGTATCAAAGTGGTACAGCCCATCTCGGGGCAGTTTGTGTATTCCCGGCGATAACTTCCCCCCCCCTTCCGTAACTCCCTGAATCTCTTCTCCTCCCCAGGTTTCGACAGCAGCTGCAGTAACGGGGTGGCGCCCCCTAAGCCCCACCCCCAATCCCACCCCCACAAGCAGTCGCCCCCAACCCTGTCCAACGCCGAGCTCAACACCATCAACAGCACGCGGAGTCAGCATGGCGGCACCTGTACCAGGTGGGTAGGGGGGAGGAGTCTCTGCGATCCAATAGGGTGCATTAAAACGGATATGCTGATTATGTGGGGCGGAGCTTCACATGAATGACCCGGAGCTGCTTGTGTGGGCTGCAGCAATGACATGGACATGGAGGTGGACCACTATAGCAACGGCGTGTCGGAGGGCACCTCCAACGGCTTCCTGAACGGCAGCTCCAAGCACGACGTCGAGCTGGAGGACTGCGAGAACGACATGGGTACAGTGGGGCTCCCTCTAGTGGCCAATCTGCCACACTGCCGCCGGCTGTATTCTAAAGCAAGGTTTCTCAACCCAGTCCTCGGGGACCATCAGCCGGTCCACGTTTTTGCTCTCTCCCAATTGGCAGGGAATTGGGAGAGAGCAAAAACATGGACCGTCTGGTGGTCCCCGAGGACCGGGTTGAGAAACCCTGTTCTAAAGCAAGCCAGAGCTGCCTTTTGGTCCATGTTGGGTTCAGCGGAGGCTTGGGTGGCTGTCGGAGCGCCGTCTCTGGGTCCGGCGTTGACCCTCTGTGTGTCCGTGTCCGTGCAGATGTGGACCCCACCCTGCCCAGGCGGCAGCTGTGCGGCGGCAGTCAGGCAGCCATCGAGCGAATGATCCAGTTCGGCCGCGAGCTGCAGAGCATGAGCGAGAACCTCCGGCGTGAGTGCGGCAAGAACGCGGCCAACAAGAAGATGCTGAAGGTACGTCTGATCCTCCCCCCCCAGGGCCTGAACACTTCTTCAAAACCTGGAATTGGGCCTAGATGACCATGAAGTAGCAGCCTCCAGCACGCCTTTGTGCTCATTTTCCATAACGGGAGCTTTCAGCGCCCTCTGCAGGCAGCCACATGCTACTGCATTCAGACACACTTCAAGTTAATTTTACCGTTGTTTCTGGTCCATACAATGCTGACGCTAGGATGGCCAGCTGCCCGCTATGAGGCAAAGCAGGGTTTTCACTGCGTCCCAGGGTTCATTATAATAACCATTTGGGGAGGAGAAAGTGACGTCTGTCTGCTCTGGGCGTGAATGAATATACTGAAATATAGGCCTTGGTTCTCTATTCACTAAACTTCTCTAATAGCTGGATGCGCCCCCTGTTTTTGCTGGAGATGCATGTTTTTAAGAAGGCAGCATTGTGAGTGGCAGTCGGAGCGCGGGGTTGAGGGCGTGTGTGCTGTCTCTCGGCAGGATGCGTTCAGCCTGCTAGCTTACTCGGACCCCTGGAACAGCCCGGTGGGCTACCAGCTGGATGCCATACAGAGGGAGCCCGTCTGTTCTACCCTCAACAGTGCAATATTAGGTAGGGCCCTGCCTTTGCATAGAGTGGACCCAAGAGGTATGCCTGGTCTCGTCTGGGTGCTGGGTTCAGTC